CCTTAACAGGAGTCTGGAACGGCCAATACGGATCCTGGGTCGAGTGTAGGATTTCCTACCGATCACCGACGCGCCGCCACTGTCTCATTAACGATAGCGCACTCACACACACACATACACGTGTGCGCGCACCCCGACTCCCGTGTGCGCAACGAGAGCTCCCCGGTTAACAAAGGATGTAAGGCTCGTGCTTACCGTGGTGGCGTGAGCAAGCAGCGCCGTGAGCGCCAGCAGCCAAGGCAGCTCCATGGTCGGGGTGCGCGGGCACAGCCTCCCGGTGCCGCCGCCGATGCTGCTGCCTTTACCGGTGTGGGAGGGGTGGGGGGTTCTGGGAGGTGGAGGGACCCCCAAAAAAGAAAAAAAAGCTGCTGCTTGCCGTCGCCGGCTCCTTGCTCTCGGTGTCTCGGTAGTCTGTCCAACTTCAGAGCGAGCCGCCCGTCTGCGCGACCATCCGTCCTTGTAGTCGGGCTTTTTAATCCAAGGCTTCACGCGCTCCTGCTGCTGGTTCCGGTCACCGCTGAAGCAGATTTCCACGATGCCTCCCGATCTGTCTGTTTCTGCGAGTTTTTGCGCTCGAAATCTGATAATTTACTACCAGAAGAAGCCAGACCTCGTCTCTCTCGCTCTCTTAATACACGCACGAGCTCTCTCTACCTCTCTCTCTCTCTCTCTGAACACACACACACTCTCAGGCTCTCTCTCTCTCTCTCCTCCCCCTCTCCGTTGAGGGCAGGATGTTCCGTATGGCGACGCTGGCCTGGGAGTTTGGCAGGAGGAGGGGGTGTGTATATGTGTGCGTTAAAAGGAAGTGTAGGGGTTGGGGGTGGATCTCCGCGTGCAAGGGCGAGGATGCCCCCTGCAGCTCGGTTAGGCACCCGCAGCCCCCCCTAAAATAAAACAATAAGCAGTCTGTAAATTCACAAGCAGCGGACCGCGGTGTTGGTTTGGTTAACCGCTCACACACCTTTAACGGTCAACCGCGCTCCTGCGCCGTGATTGGCTCAGTCACACCTGCGCCTGTACGTAAGAGGGGTTGATATCGCGCGATAACACCCCCCCCCCTTCCCTCTCGGCTCTTGCAGTATGGTTAGCTGTTATTGCACCGCAGCAACCGGAGTGGAAACATTTAATGACCTGTCATATGCTCAAAGTTGTGTTCGCCACTTTTACAACCACCAGCGACGTCTGAAGGTGAACTTGAGCGTGCCTTCGTTTGGTTTCTCAGCTCCACCTGCCACTGCAGACCACGTGTTCCCTCCTTATCCCGAAATTAGCCTTGGGAAAATGTTGAATTGCATCTGATTGATTGCGAAAGACTATTAAGTAGGTTTTACCTACCTGTGATTAGTGGGATCAGAATGCTTTGTTAGGCTTATAAAATGTGACCTTTTTTAAAGAAAGCACTGCCAAATAAAGCCATCAGGTGTGTCTTTAAATAAAACTCGGTCTGATGTAGATTCTGGTAGTCTTGGGTGTGTTCTCCCACCACGTTCACAGTGAATACATGTTTAACATATTGTTAAAATGTTCACTCATCTGCCTTAAGGCAGGGTAGGGTTTAATATGACACCGGCCCACCTTTTCCAGCTATAACAGCTTCTGTTCTGGGAAGATTTTCCAAAGGTTTTAGGAGTGTGTTAATGGGAATGTTGACCTTCTTCTGGATGTGTATTTGTGAGGTCAGACACTGATGTTGGACGAGAAGGCCTGGCTCATAGACTCCGCTCTAATTGGTGTTTTATCAGGTTGAGGTGAGGACTCGGTGCAGGCCAGTCAAGTCTTTCCACACTAAACGTGCTTATTCACATCTTTATGGTCCTTGCTTTGTGCACCGGTCATGTTGGAACAGGAAGGGGCCATGCCCAAACTGTTCCTACAAAGTTGGGACAATTAAATATCTTGGTATACTGAAGCATTAAGAGTTCCTTTCACTGGAACTAAGGGGCCAAGCCCAACTCCTGAAAAACAACCCTACACCAAGAAACTTTACACTGATTCATCCGTCAGATTGCGAGACGGAGAAGGGTGACTCAGAGAATACATCTCCACTCCTCTACAGTCCAGTCGTGGCGTGCTTTACACCACTGTAATATTGTGCTTAGTGATGTAGCCGCTCAATCATGGAAACCTGTTCTGTGAAGCTCTCCAAGCACCGTTTGGAGCTCCTAAGAGCGACCCATTCTTTCACAAATGTTTATAGAGGCAGTCTTCATGCCCAGGTGCTTGATTTTATACACCTGAATCCTACGATTTGAATGGGTGACTGAATACTCTTGACAATATATTGCAGTCTGTTTGAATGACAGCACTGGAGGACTACAAGATGGATGTGTTCTGACTGAGGCCTGTTCAACACTGCAATGCAGGCTGATTATCAGTAAATTAGGACTTCTTCTCCACTGACCGTAGGAGGGCTTTCACTCATGCTCTTCCTATTGCGATCACATAATGAGCATAAACAGAGCAGGGAGTCAAAAATAATAGAGGCGGTTTTTGGTACACATTACTTAAATTGTTCCCGACTTCTTCCATTCAGCACTGCTGGTTTGTCAGTCCTTGCGATGCCCCATTAAGGTGCCAGCCTCATTAATCAGCCTCATTTATGGGAGAAAGTGGAGCATCAGGACCAAACGCCCTGCTCCCCTCTCTTGACTCTTGCTGTGTAATTGCAGCCGTATCCATTCGGTAGACATCGAACACACGCTACGGCACAGAGGATCCTGTTTCTCGATTCAACATAACGAGAGTACCAGACACACAATGAAGCACAGCGGAGGCGGGTAAATTTTCAAAGTTTTTTTTTTTTTGTTCAGTTTGGTTTCAAAATAAAGATCACACAATTGTTTAGAGACAATCTACAACAGGAGTTACAAAAAATAGTTGCCCAGGCAATAAGCATACACAGGTTCTGTTAACTATACACATATGGTTACAGGTGTGCTCGTAGTAAATATACACAAGGCTGCTCCAAATGTACACCGCGCTGTGGCGGGCGGCCTCTCTCTCACCCAAAAGGACATGGACAGTATGATACAGCACTTACAGCACTAGAGAAAATGCCAAAAAACACAAGTCTCCTCTGTACAATCCACGCGTTTACCCCTGAAAACAGTCATGGGTAACTGAGGAGTTTGGGGGGAGAAGGGGAAGGGGGGTTTAAATGAGTAAAAGTTATTTCTCCCACCCAGCCAGCGTACTCAAAACACATGACACATTTCATGGGGTAAAGCATTCCTATAAAAAGATCTTAAAAAAGGTCAAAAAGTCCCCCCCCTCCCCACCAAAACAACAAACAAACAAAAAACAAACCAGAAGACACCACTAATCTATCCGAACGTGTCCAATTGGGAGTCGGCGGGAGATCGACGTCTTTAAGTTAAGCAGTGACGAGATAAAGATAAAACCAAGCGTGGCGAATCTTTGTACAAGTACAACGCTGTATAGAAAGGGCTTTTCAAAACAAAATTTGATATTACAATTTACAATATACACAACAACTCATATGTCACAACCAAGGAGGTGAGAATATACACTGAAATGCACAGTTTTTTTTCTTCCTTTTTTTTGTCCCCCAGAGTGAGATTTTTTTTCTTTTTTTTTTCTTCTTCTCATACCAAAAAAGGGTGGTAAAGCACTTTTACATTACAAGGGTTTACAAATGTACAATTATACAGTCAGAAGTATGTGGTCACTACTAGGATACATTATAGATACAGATTCAACATCAAAAACCAGAAAAACTACAAAGTTTTATATATATATTTATATATATATGCAAAGGTCTACACCAAGTATACACGTTATATTTATAGAAGCAAGACCAGAAAACGAATCTCCCATGCTAAATGATCTGTCTGCTGGTTAGCTGATGGTGGCGCGCGCGCATGTGTGTGTCTGTGTGTGTGTGTCTGTCTATGATTCGGGGACGTCAGACAAATTAAATACTCGTTCCATCTCATAGTGGTAAATAGCTAGAATGAGAGGAGGAGGAGGAGGAGGAGGGGGCTCTAGGATTGTGTATGCAGCAGTAGCAAAAAGTGAAAGATTTATCTTTTGAGTTTATCAGAAGCAAAAAAGGAAAAAAAGAAAGAAAGAAAAGGAGGAGTGGGGTGAGTAGAGTGGGTCTCACCTCTCCTTGTTCACCCCCACCCCCTCCTGCCACCGTCGCTGCCTTCCACTGCACCCAGTTTACAGACTGGAGTCCAGTGGGGGGAGGGGTGCCAAAAATCCAACCACGAAAAAAAAAAAAAAAAAAAAAAACAACCCAACAACTAAGGCTGCCTGTAGCAACAGGCTCCTCCCGAAGGGTTGTCATGGAAACAGTGGTGGGAGGGGTACACGATGTCCTCTATGAGGATTCGGTGGGGTGAAGTGGGCATGATGCTTTCTGAAGGGTCAGACGAGGGGGTGGGTGGGGTAGACATGAAGGCATGAGGAAGGTGAGCTGAAGGGTGGGGAGGTGGTAGACATGATTTTGGGGTGGGGGAGGAGGAGGGGGTTCAGTTTACATGATGCCATTAGGAGGGCCGCAGAGAGGACCCAGGTCGACGCCGTTCTTCATGTAGTACTTCTCGAGCTTGGCGAGGATGTGTTTTCCATACGTGTACTTCCTCAGTGTGGAAATGTGAGGCCGGATCTGTACACGCACACACACACACACGCGCACACACACGCACACACACACGCACACATGTTAGTCAAAAATTGATACAAATTTGCTCCTTTTCGAGTCCCCTTACATGCATGCAGACCTCACATCAGTGACGAGGCTGACATTAACTGAGGTTGATAGATGCCAGTCTATAAACCGACTGAGCAAACATTACTAGAAGAGTTAATAAATAAAGGAATAAATAAAACCCAGCTCTCTAAATTCGCCCTCTGATTTGCACTCACTCGACACTTTGTTAGACACATCTGTTCAACTGCCAATCACAAGGCTGAATAGATTTAGGCACGTAGACACAGCCAAGGCGAGCTGCTAAAGTTCAAAGTGAGCATCTGAATGGGATTTTCCTGCACAGCCATCTCTAAAGTTTACAGAGAAAATATCCAGTGAGCAGCAGCTCTCTGCTGAAAGTGTCTTGTCGATGGTAGAGGTCAGAGGAGAATGGCCAGACTGCTTTAAGCTGATAGGAAGGCAACAGTAACTCAAATAACCTCTTGTTAGAACCAGGTATGCAGTAGAGCGCACTGTGTCAGTCCTGTCAAGTAAGAACAGGAAACTGAGGCTAGAGTTCGTACAAGCACATCAAAACTGGACAACAGAAGACTGGAAAAATGCCGCCTGGTCTGATGAGTCTTGATTTCATTCGGATGGTTGGGTCAGAATCCGGTGTAAACAACATGAAAGCACCAGCACTTGTTTATTCTACGCCACAAAGAATGAATGCAGCCCTGAAGGAGAAAGGGGGCCTAATCTGGCACTCGCGAGATGTACCTAATGAAGTGTCCGGTGAGTGTACGCATTAATGCAAACTTCACTGAAATGTTCTTTCCCATTATGGATGGAGGTCAAGCTAGCAGACATATTTGTACCTTAATAGCTTTAGAGGTAGTTGCTACTTGGACACAACAACAGAGTGCATTAGCTGGATGAGCTCTCATCAATCCAACCCACCTGCACAGTTTTGCATTAGTGACGGTTGGTTTCATTATA